GCGTTCGACACATTAAGAAGCCATCTGAAAAGCTCAGGTGCTGAATAATAATTGTATTTAATGCATTGCATATTACCTTTCTAAAATAATCTAAGGGAGAGGGTAGGGGGAGATGAAGTCACCTAAGATAACCTATAATTTGTTGAATGCAAAGCCTGCTTGAGTGTAAAGCTTTTGAAGTTAATACAAAATGAATTTCACTCAGATAGCAGTATCTCTATTGCTATTAAAAGTATTGAAATTCTAATGAATGAAGCTAGCACATAAGCATTACTCATCTAGCATTTATACTGCACTATTGCTTAGAGGCCTCCACTCTGTTTGCAGTACTCCACTTTGCAGTACTCTGTGCACAGCCATGAAGTAAACTTCAGGACCTTTCTCAAAGCACTTTTGAGTGCACACCCATTAATGATGAGTATGTGGTGGCCTAATAAGGCTGACTGAGTTTCTGTGCCAGGAATGTGAATCTGTGGCTGTTTGCCTGCCTCGATCCTGACTCTACGCCCCCACTTCGTCAGAAATGGGCTCCAGGCTTTTTGTCCTCAGCCTTGTCATGCATGTGTATATTTCTTGGGGTGTGAAAATAGCAGCACTCGAGAGGTTGTTCAAAGCAGTAGAAATATGACAGGCAAATCATACAAATCATACCAAAAGATTAGTCTCATTAGCTGGGGGAATTCCTCAGACAGCTGTGGGTGTTCCCTGGCTGCTTTCCTGGGGGCTAGCCTGTCCATAAGCAGAGCAGTTCAAGAATCAGAATTGCTGCTACTGCCTGCCTCTTCCCTGCAGACCCCACTCTGCTAAGATTTCTCCAAATTGGGCTTTCCCCTCTGTGGTACACATGGCGGTAATGTGGGGTGAACCCAATTCAGTATGCCTCTATTGCCTCCAGAAGTCATTGAGATAAGAGATTAGATGCTAGACCTCTGAATAAGTACATAGGGCTGCACTGATTCTTGGTGAAAGCCAGAACAGGGATGATATGCAAGTTCCAGCTCAGGTGTATAGAAGGATTTGGAATTTATAAGCCAGAAGAGATGCGTGGGTTGAGGTGATGGGTGAGGGGGCATGGCAGCAAAAGGGAAACATTGGTACTTCTGTGCACACCTCCTTCAGGCAGCATTTTTGGGGGGTGGAGAAATCATGTGGTTTCAAGTGATTTAACCTTGATTTAAGGCAAAAGGCCGAATCATGCACCACCACCTCCAAAGTCTCTAGCTGAGGCTGTTCCAGTTTAACACCTATGTTCTGCCTTTTGCTGCTCCCAGGTTCTGTTTCTACTATTCTAACCCTAGGACTTCACTAGAGACCCCTGGAGTTATCACAAGGGCTCTTACTAACTTGAATTGTTTTTTGGATTGGGCCTCTGCAGACAGCAAAGCCTCTATAAGGGAGTGTTGGGGAGGGACGGTAGCAAGGCAGGAAGATCATTAGGGACAAAAGATTAGAATAATTTGCATTTACAGTTGAACCAATATTGACTGATTGACTCATTCTGTTGTAAGCTACCTGTTTCTGCAGTTAGGCTACTTTTTTAAACAGCAGAATCAAATGTTTGGTTGCATTCTCTACCCTGTACCCTCTGCCGTAAGTGAGCAGCAAGAGAAAGTTCGAGGTTGGAGAGGAAGCACTCCCTGGGGCTAAGTATAGACAGTCAAAATGCCTGAGGCTGAATCAATTCAATCTTTGCAGGTTAGTCTAAGCTGCATAGATTGAACCAAGAAGGAAGTGAACATACATTCACTTTTGATTCCAGAAATGCAGCCACATGCCTGCAGTGGCTCCCAGCCTGCCAGACACTACTGAAGAGAAGGGAGGGAAGCTGGGAGAGAAGCGCTCCAAGGCTTCCCCTCCTCTCCACATAAGCAGAAAGAAGAGGGGTATAGCCAGGCCCGGGGTGGCGTTCTGAGTATGATGGGAGTGTTTAAACCCACACCCTGGCCTACACTGACCCTGGAGGGGCAGGGGAGGGGGAGGGGGAAGGAGAGAAGCCCCAGCCAGGCTTTTCCTTGGTTGAGCAGAGGGGCATGGCTAGGCCTCGGCTCCAGCTGGCTCACCAAGGTGGAGGGGGAGAAGGGCTTAAGCCCCCTCCCTGGCTTGCACGGGACCCCAGCCAGGGCCTGCCTGGCAAGGGCAAAGCAGCCCCTCTCTGAGTGGGGCGAAGCCTGGCAGGAGCTGCTTTGCCCCTTCAAGCAGACACCTGCTGAGGTCTGGACCTGGGTTTCCCCCCCAGACTCCCTCTCAGCTAGTTGGAGCAGTGATAGTGCTCTGGCTAGGGAATGGAGGGGCAGAGCCAAGCCTGCTCCACTGGAACAGACAGAACAGCCAGGGCAGCAAAGCATCATGGGATGCTGGGGGACTGTGAGTTAACTTGAACTGGGAAGGGGTCTGGGACAGACATTTCATAAACTGGTTTGACCTAAATCTGTTCAGTCTGATACTACATCCAACCAGGTTTTTTTAAAACCAGTTTCAGTCATTTTGAAAGCAATTTAAGTGCACTGAACATCTGTTGTGTTACAGATTTGAACTGGTTTTGATCACTTAAACTGGTTTCTGTGTAAGGTTTCTGTCCCTAGCCTGGTAGTGGACAGCCCTATCTTCTCCAAGACACTGGGATGTGTTAGCGGTTGGGAAAGACCTTGTTTCAATAGCATTTGTTCGGCATTTTAGGAGCAAATGGAACCATGTCAAACTGTACAACACAATGACTAGCAATAAGTTATCAGGCTAAAATGTTTGTGGTTTTTTTAATAAACCGGGGCAGCTAATAATATCAACGCAGTTTTCTGTTAAACCTGATGTGCTATATTAAGGAGCAGCTGGTTGGGTTTGTTTCTAAGCATTAAGCCGCAGAACAGGATGTGGATTTTAAATTGCTGGGGCTATGTCTAAAGTAAATGGAATATGATTATAGATAATCCTCTGATGCTTTGCAGCTTTTTCTGTTGTTGTTTCTTGTTGATCCTGGACATTTTTGATGCATTAGCTGGGCATTTGCTGCCTAGAAGTGTTCGGTCCTTATTATCAGATGTATATCTTCTTGCCATATTTGTCTCATCACATTTCAGTGTTCTGCTTTACTTCTTTCCCATTGTTGTATGGATCCAGTACTGTATGTACACATGTGTTTATCTGCTCTGTGTGTAAGTTCTGTTACCCAGCTTTTAACTCATTTAGCAGTGGCTTAAATGACTACTAAGTGCTGCACAACATAGAGCTTTGGCCTTTGAGCTATCAGGAAACTGATTCCAGATTGTGCAAACCTTGGTAATGGAGCTTTGCAGTGTATTCTGGTAGGCTTTTTATATTAGTACAAATTAAACAGGCCTAACATTACATAGAACTTCAGTTGTTAAAAGCTGCTGTTGTCACACATAATGAACCTCCTGTCTTGTAAGAAAGGTATTCAGCATGTCAGTAAATTCAGTGTTACATAGTTATGTCCCTCGAGCATGTGTTTCCTTAGCCTTGAGTTCTTTTGGTTTGTATGGCTGGGAATCCTAATGGCAGAAGAGGATAAAGAAGAAATGTTCATCATAACCATTTAGGCAGATAAGGTTCTTTGGGTAAATCTGATATCTTTTATTAGACCAACTCAAATGGTTGGAAAAATTCTTCTTTGCAAGCTTCTAGGTATAAATACCCTTCATCAGGCTGCAGTACCATTTAAGCATCTTTCACTTTGACCTGTTTGACCAGTTTGAAGAAATTTAACAGTGCCTGCACGTCACTGCAGTTAGTAAGTGAGCCCCCAAACCCATTGTAATACTATGGCATCATCTCTGCTGTAATAGAGGACATCTATTGTGCCCAGACCCCTTGGAGTCATGATGAAATCATGAGATTGTTGAAATATGTTTTTTGCCCAGTTGGGCACTCCTGAAAAAGCTGACCAGCACGTGGCTGTTGGAAACACTTGTGTAAAAGTTGCAATATGAAAACCTGAACAGGCTGTCAAAGCTTCTGAATTCTTCAGACCAATGTACACATGAGGACTGCGCTGTCACTTTGCCAGCCCCATTGCAACTCCATACTTTTAAGAAGCTTATTTGTTACAGTACTGGGGAACATTGAATTAAAATGTTTTTAAAAGATCTGAATCACTTGCTTATTTTCTTCTCCCTGGATGACTCAGCTGTTCCTGCTGCCAATGGTGTTAGAAAAAGGAAGGGAAAGGTCCTATGGGGTGAGCCTGTTAAACATGGGGTCTTCTTCCACCCCAGACCTCTTTATGATGCTTCTGCCCTCTATGTCATCCTGCTTATGCTCTGTGAATTGCTGGAGCTCAACTTTCAAAGCATTGCGAAGTCCTTGACCTGGTTCCTGCCCTCTCAGTATGTCTGCTGCTGAACCAAGGCAGGAGGCTTTGGTACTGATGTGATGGTGTCAGGAAAGGGGGATAATGCTGCTGCACCAGGGGGTGTTCAGAGAGCCACTGTTGCATTTCTTTAGTCTTGGACTGCCTTTTTGCTATGTAAATGTGGACTATTTATGTGCTGTGGTATTTTTTTACACCCCTGATGCTGCCTATGCTGGTTAGTGTGGGCAGGGACTGGAAATGTACTATGGAGCACAGGAGGAGATATGGAAGGAGGAATATAGCTGAGCGCTGAATGGTACTGGGACAGACCAAAAGGGGTTGTCCCAAATTGTCTTCCTCTTTTCCCTCCCACTAAATGGCAGATTCAGTTACTGGGAGAGCTTGGATGAGAGGGGAAAGGAGATGGGGAAACAGGATAATGTTTTATCAGTGTTTTTAAGCTTTACATTGTATCCAGATGCTTATTTCACAAACCAGTCCTTAAGTGTACCCATTCTCTCTGGGGGATTGGTTTCAGCTGTTGAAATGTTTTTACTTGTTGTATGTCTGTGAGCTGATAGCATCTTTCCTTTTGTTAGATAGCATGTTACCTTTTTAAAATCTAGGGGCACGACTCACACTTGGAGTCCAATCATAGCACTAATGTTGACATGCTTATTCTTTTGTTTTACAGCTGCTAGATTTTAATCAAGAACAGAATGGGGAAGCAGAACAGTAAGCTGCGACCCGAGGTACTCCAAGATCTCCGGGAAAACACTGAATTCACAGACCATGAGCTACAAGAGTGGTACAAAGGCTTCCTAAAAGATTGCCCAACTGGCCATTTGACTGTTGACGAATTCAAAAAAATATATGCAAATTTTTTCCCTTATGGTGACGCGTCGAAGTTTGCAGAACATGTCTTCCGCACATTCGACACCAATGGTGATGGGACGATTGACTTTAGGGAATTTATCATTGCTCTGAGTGTCACCTCTCGGGGAAAGCTGGAACAGAAACTGAAATGGGCATTTAGTATGTATGATCTTGATGGCAATGGTTACATCAGCCGTGGTGAAATGCTAGAAATAGTGCAGGTGAGAAATCCTTTTCTTTTTGTAAATTTTATCTTTGAATTAATCTTGCTGTAACTTCTCTTTACCTCTGAACCATCTGGAGCTAGAGGCTTCTGATCTAGGTTGCTTTTGCACCCTAAAAACTGTTCAGTTAGCTCCTGGCACGTCTTAAAAGTTGCCACAGCAGCCAGTAGAAGGGTCTCAGGCTGTGTTTGCAGTGTAGTTTTCCCCAATGTCATTCTTCATGGCCACACAAAATAATTCTAACCACAGACTGTAAATGGATTATGGCTCTGAAAGCCGAACAGATTCTGAGTAGAAATAAGACCTGAATGAAAACCCAGTTTCCTCTCTTCTTACCCTTACCCCCTCTCTCCCTCCCAACATTTCTGAGATGTATGAAACTTGAATCAAAATCTAAATTAGAGTTTTGGTATCCCCAGGATTTCCAGTGGTTTGAGTCATAAGGCAATAACCCCAGAGCCTCTGAAAATCCAAGTGTAGTATGAGATCATCTGTGCTTTCAGGCTAGGTATAGACATTCAAAAAGCCTGAGGCAGAATTGATCTAACATACAGTTTTCTGTAAGCAGCATAGTTTAAATTGGTAGTGACCAGAACACACATTCACCCTTTTGTGGGGTGCAAATCTTAGACTGAGTTCTGCCATTTTTAAACCAATCTGTGTGCTGAACTCTTCTGCTCTGTTACAGGTATAGAGGCTGTGGCGGGGGTGGGGTTGTCCCAGCTTCTGTTCTGTTCTGGGTATAAACTGGTTTCAAATCACTTA